TCAAGGGCTCATATTTTAATCTGAATTCCATTTTCAAGCCTACTAGTGTTCTCATTGCATTAAATCCTAAATAACCTGTAATTCTAGCTTTGATTTTTTTTTTTTACCTCAACATTATTTCACAGTATTTAATTTTGAAATGTTTTGGATTTATTTTAAAGTATTATTAATTACTAATTTATATGAGTTATGATCACCAAATGTGACCCAGATGATTTGCCTGCAAGTGACTACTGGTGTGCTAAGACTTCCACTAATGTTTTGATCCATTTTTTTCTTGAATTCCTAACATTTCATATATTTTGACACAATGTTATTTACCAGATACATGTTCACAAAGGTTTCATCTTTATCATAAATGGTACCCTTTACCACTGCAACAGGATCCTGTCTTAAATATATGAAAGTAGAAAGAAAAATTAATTTAAGGAAACAGGAAGTTGAATTCCTACTACAAACCCCCTGGTGACCGGATTCTTTGGAACTGAAAACACAGAAACATCAAACACCAGAATGAAAAGACGTTAACAAGGCAGAGTTTTTACTCTAGTAGAAAGCCCAAAATTTGATTCTCTAAAACATCCCTTGACATGTTCAAAAATGTTCAAAAACATTTTTCTAAAAGGATGTTACTCTGAAATACTTTACTTATATTAATTACAACTTCATAGAAATATTTCCTGGAGTAGAAATAAGAGGGCAGAGTAATATGGATATGGTTAGTGACTACCATAACCAGTGTTCAGTATTTCAGTGTATTCCTCCACTTTTGAGTGCTTTAAATATTGGTATTTATTTGCCATTATTCAGTAATCTTTATTTTGTACCATGGCATATGCAGCCACACATAAGAAATTGGAGCTGTATAAGGCCACTGACCTTTTAAAAACTCTTCCAAGCTGTATTTTCTTTAATGTTTATTTTTGAGACTCTGTGAGCAGGGGGAGGGGCAGAGAGGGAGGGAGACGGAGGATCTAAAGTGGACTCTGTGCTGACAACAGCGAGCCCAGAGAGCCCAACGTGGGGCTCCAATTCAGTCATGAACTATGAGATCATGGCCTGAGCCGAAGTCAGACGCTCAACTGACTGAACCACCCAAGCGCTCCACAAGTTGTATTCTTATTATATACTTTGCAAATGCCTCTTTCCTTGGTTATTACTACGGTTGAGTGGTTTTCCCTACAGTTACTATATCTGGATTTCTCCTAGAACCCAGTTTGGACCCCATCTACTTTCAGGAGTTCCTGGTACAGCCAACTTTTACCTATGGGATAAGTAGAGGGTAAAGAAGGGGAGTACGATACCCGCTCCCTAGCAGGGAAGAAAGCAAGGGGTTCCATGCTTAGTTTCCAGCTTGTCTGCCTCCACCTGTCACTGACAGGCCTCCCGCCTTTTGACTTCCAGGATCATTCTTATTGTCTTGGAACTTGACCACTCCCTCCCTATGATAAAATGTATTATCCCCCCTACATTCTTTCCCCATCATCAGTCCACTTTTTAAACAAACACTGATGCCAGTATTTCAGTGTGACACCAAATAGATACCGAAAAGCTATAATTGTTACTTTGCTCTGGTATTACAACCGATATCTATAGTGGAGTTGAAAATTAACGATCTAGGGTGAATTAAAACTTTAACTCTGGACTGAGAAGAAATTGTGGCCCAATCCGGTCCAGACATAGGCTGAAGTAGCCAATGGTGTAGTTGTTGTCACCTGGGGTGTACTGATGAAAAGAAGAGACTTACCTGCTAACCTTTTGCTTTTTAATTTTTGTATTTTTTACCTTCTAGAATCCACAGGTTTGATCTGGGGAACATAAGCCCATTCAGACTAAGATGGATTAACTGAAGCAGCTAAAAGATCTAGAAGAAATTTCCTGTTTGGTCATGGCCTACCTCCAAATAAAGTATCCCCGAAAGGCAAATAGCTGTCATACAATCAACCAAACATAAAATTATTTGAAAACCATGACCAAGATGTATGGTCCTTTATAAACAAATTGCTCAGATATACTGTGCACACCAGGTCCATCCTTTATGTTTAATCTGACTGTAACTAACTCTGATACCAGACAAGAGAGAAGCACCAGACAAAAGTAAATTCTTCAAATGAACTGAGGCACAACCCACACCTGTTTTCATGTGTACACAGAACCCTGGGCCACCTTCCACGAACTCAACAAGAACAGCAGCTCTGCGCACATTTACCAAGTTCAAACACTTCAAGTCTCAAACTTCTCTCTCACATTGGTCATGTAAGCAGTACTCTCCCTGAATACAGAACAGTATTAATCTATAGAAAACATGGTTAATTAGCGGGCACATCAAATCTATGATGCTGATTGTAGTTACAAAATTTCAAACTAAAAAGTGTAAAAATGAAAAATGCTATCGAGTAGTTTTGGCCACAAGCCTAAGAAGTTACTCTGTAAAGCCTTCCTCAATAGTTTTGCTAAATTTATGGCATCACTTGGTTTTGGGTTAAGGAGAAAAAAAACCTCTCCAATCCATCATATAATTGCAAAACTTTGGAGGCTACTTGAAGTCTTCCTTTCACCTAATCCAGACAGAGATGCTTCCATCTAGCCCTTTAAAGTATCCGAACCTTTACTACCTTTTTGGCAGAGGCGGTTATTAGCCAGGGGCCTTATAAAAGGAAGTAAACCACTATCAAAAACTGGGCCATAATTAGGCAAGATCTAATGGGCTGTGAGCAAGAGGTATTCAAACCCCCTTTCTCCTTCGAGGTAGGGAACTGACCCTGGATTAGCTTTCTAGCTCAGCTCCCCTGGAAAGCTGACAAAAGTGCACCAGCAGCTGTGTGACCAGGTGAGCCTGCTTCTGGTAAAATGCCCTGGCTGGCACCTTGTGTCCAGGCTGAGGGCTGTGAGTGAACGTGAGTGTCCGTGAGGAGTTACAGCTCGGGCTCCCTGAGTACAGTGTACCTCCTGTTACTGGGCCCTGCCCCTGGCCAGGACCTACGGATGCTATGCACTGGGGACTGATCTAAGATGTAGTGGTCCCCTTGTGGCTTCTAAGCCACGGTGGCTCCTGCAACCTATGTGTGTAGTCTGTGGGGGCTACTGCAAGAATTCCCACAGAACTGTGCCCAAAGCCGCCCCCTGGCATGGTGTCTTAATGTCCCATGTCCTTCAGACTACATTGGTGTGAGACATAGCCTATCCAGGGCTTTGGAGTTTAAATGTATATTTGAACCCAACACCAGCTATGACAGGTGTCACACATGCACTCAGCCAGTGTCTTCAGACACAACACAATCCCACATCAGCTCTGAATAGGCACAGGCAAGGCTAGCAAAAGGGTACAGAATTAGAACCACCAAGACAAACCTTTAAGAAATGGTTCAAGACTTACAGGTATCACTGAGGTTTAGGGCAGAGAACAGCAGAGAAACGAAAGCATTACTCATGAAGTATTGAATTTCAGTTAACATTTCTACCAAACTTAGCTACTAGTTATTGTGAAACAAAGGAATGAGGCATCATGGTACAGAGGGAAGGAAATTCACCTAGGAACTGGATCTGGGTCTCATTCTGGCTATGTGGCTCTGGATAAGGTCCATCAATATCTATATGGCAGAGAAGGGCAGGGGCATGGAGGCAGGTTCCATCATCCCCTGCTGTCTCTACTGACAAAACTACTCTCAGTTAACCCTGAAAATAAAAACACTAGAATCTTGCTCCTTCCGTTTTTGGCAAGTCTCGGGAAAAATCCTAAATACAAGAAAAAGCCTTATGTAAAAATGTTAACTACTGAATTATTTGTTACCCATAACGGAGAACGGAGAAATTTTAAAAACACCCAGATGTTGGGGCGCCTGGGTGGCGCAGTCGGTTAAGCGTCCGACTTCAGCCAGGTCACGATCTCGCGGTCCAGGAGTTCGAGCCCCACGTCAGGCTCTGGGCTGATGGCTCAGAGCCTGGAGCCTGTTTCCGATTCTGTGTCTCCCTCTCTCTCTGCCCCTCCCCCGTTCATGCTCTGTCTCTCTCTGTCCCCAAAATAAAAATAAACGTTGAAAAAAAAAAATTTAAAAAAAGAAAACAACAAAAAAAACCCACCCAGATGTGTAAATGTGTACCACAGGTTACTAGAGTTCACCCATTAGTATACTACTGTGGAACTAGTAAAGTGATGTTAATATAACAGCACTACAAATAAGCAAATTACATGCTAAGCAAAAAAGGTAGAATAAAAATTATAAAGACAAAATTCTTTAAGTTATATTTTAAAAAACTTATGCATAAAAAAGAAATGGAAGACACAGCATTGTTAAGGGGACTACAAATGGAATTTCTTTTTCCCATTTTCTAAATTTTCTCAAAAGAGCATGTGAATGGGAAGATTGTTCAATATGTTTCACTTCCAACACACTTATTATTCAGACCAAGTTTTGAAGGGACTCTTTTGCCCATATCCTCTCTGGGTATACTGTACTAATATTAAGCTTGAAAATATCATGTCAAATCAGGATGGTTATGTTATTCTGAAACTGTAAACCCGTATAAGAGAAATGATCTGGCAGAGAGGCTTATATATATTTGTTGAATTAAGCTTTATTTTAACTCATATCTCTAAAGAGCTGCATTTCTTCATATTCAGTTCAATTTTCATGGACTTCAACTGACCAAATCATTCCTGTCCTAATATTAACAAGGACATTTTGTGACATTATACTTACCATAACAAGGTTTGGGGAAAAGTAGCACTTAAAATATCTCAAGATGTTTACAAAGTTCAAAAATTAAATATGGAAATTTAAAATTATGAAAAAACTGACTTAAGGAACTTTGGTATCTTTCAGATTTAACCAGTCAATTGTTTGCTGATCTGTACTCCTTCCAAAGGGATTCTGTGTTATTTCTACAAACATAAGTTCTTGGGACATGCTGGTTTTAAGGTGAAGTAAACGTGCTTTACAAATATGTGAAAAGATACATGTTAACTTTAGAAAGAATAATGTGAAAAAAAGGTGCCAGGCCACAGTTTTAACTTCAATGTTTTAATATCATGAAATACAACTACAAAACATTGTACGAGTATATTTTGTTCTCTACATGGAGATGGAATAATACATTTGTGTTTTTACCAGAATCTCTACATCCAGCATTAGCCACTGTACCAACGGCTTTCCACAGGGATTTTCTAGTCTTCCCATGAGGTCTTATCATGAATAAAAAAAGCTCACAAATCTTTTCAACCACTGCAGATTTATATTTAGCTTAACATTTTTGTTCAGCTGCTTTGGAGAACTGTTAAGAAATACAAAATTGCCTTAGCCAAGAGTTTTGAGAGGCTAAAGAATTTTGTTGTTTCACGTTGGCCAAGATCTCCCTTATGTTGACATTGCAAAGACACTGTGTACTTCTATGGGGTAAGAAAAAGCATCTCAATAGCCCTCTTACTACTTAGGAAGGCCAATTACCAGTTCCTTAAAAGTACAGAATATTATAATAGATAGCTATTGGCTAAGCAGCACTTCATGAAAATCCATTATATAAGACAAATAACAGCAACAGAGAGCCATAAAGCCCCACATGTACTAAAGAAAACAAGTTTGGAAATATTTAAACTAAGTGCTTTTCCTACCTCTAAACTGGTTTAACTACATCATCAAGTAAGAGTAATATCAGCCAATAAAGAAAAAGTAAACTGTGCTAGTGTCCAGAATTAGGTTCAAGAGTATACCTCACAGTTTTCAGCCATTCCAGCTAAGACTTTGTTTATGACCGACAACAACAAAAAAAAGATGAAAGTAGCATTTACTTTGTTGGAAATAAAAAAATTAAAATACTGCTAATTTCACAAAATATTTGAAACTAACTTTGTTTTTATAATAAAATGTTTATCTTGTTTTTTAAAGTTTTAACTACCGCTTTTACTGTTCAAAAAAATCAGTCAAAGTAATGTCAACCTTTAGGGATAAACTTTGGGGTACTTAAAATAACATGTTTTGAAAACTGAACCACACTTTTAATTGCCAGCATTATGCTTTGGTCTTGGTAGAATCATCTTTGTTTCTTCTTTTTACATCCCAATTATAAACCCTGGCCATATCTGCAAGAACTGTCAAAGAAAATGCAAATGCAATTCTAAAGATAACATACGCAATGACTAAGTAAGTATTCACTCACATGTTGAATCAGAAATCGTGCACACAAAATACCGGTAACAGCTAGGATTGTGAGCTATCTTGCTAGAATACCATTTGCTAAGAAAATACTGGAACTAAATTCCACCAATACAAAGTCAAGGCCTCAAGTCAACAACTGTTTAGCATATGTAGCCAACTGAAGCCTTATACTTGACAAAACATGTCCTTGACACTGTCAACAGTTTTAAAGATAGCTCCTCATCCATGAAATTTCAAAGACTGTTGACACCATATCCTTACAGGCAATATTTAAATTGGTACAATTCAATTATCAATAATTTCATCTCTTACCCCCCCTTTGGTTTAATAGGACATTCACTCAATTTATTTTCCTTTCCACAAGCACCACCCTGTGTAGGCCCTCGCATATCAGTGATTTCTTTCATGGACTATGCCTTTGGTGTTGTATCCTAAAGTCACCAGTGTAACTCAGGCCATCTAGATTTTCTCCAATGTTATCCTCTACGAGTTTGATAGCTATTTCCCTGGACTTCTGTGGATCAAATCTCCACATCACGAGTCCCATCCCAGCCCCTGCTCTAGGCCTCCACCAGGCCTGCCTTCCGTCACCCAAGTACTCAGCGGCCGCTGTGTGCCGCGTGCCACATGCCGTGGAGAAAAGAACAGGTGCAGCTCCCACGCTTGCAGTGCTCCCGACCTGGCACAGAAAACCAAGTACTGAGTGCAAAGCGCTAAGTAAGCACAGAGAAACAATAAGACACCCTGAGGATCTGAACAGGTATAGAAATGATCTGATCCTTGAGCTGTACTAGGAAGGAAACGAAGGAGTAACCCACAGAAACATAAATAGGGGGAAATTGTTCCAGGTGGGAGGAACAAAGTGGAAATGTAAAGGGTGTGGCACAATGGCAGGGGGCAGGGAGGAGAACCGATTGGGTGCACGGGGCGGGGTGGGGGAGGCTGGGGCAGGAAGAGGTCAGGGGCACAAGGTAAGACGGTATGGGACACTTCACTCAGGGCCTCTGTGCATACCTTTCCTGCAACAGGGAGCCACTGAAGTTCTCTATCGCGACCAGAGGAGCAAAAATAGGATGCGTGACTCAGTAAATTCACACTGGAGATAGTGTGAAGGAGAGATGGGAGAAAAAGAGACTATAGAACTACTTCGTCTAGGCTCTGGAAGGCCAAAAGGAGACAATGGACAGAGAGGTTTACAAGGGAAATTTGACAAGAATCTGGTGATTGGTTGGCTCTTGGTGATGAAAGAGGAGTGGAGAGCAACTCCCGAGTTTCTGTCCTGGGGAGTGTGTGGGACCAGTGTCCGCAATAGGAACCAGGAGAGAGAAGTCAGAAAGGAGAGGCACAGAGCTGGGTTTCAATACAGCTGCTCCCTCCCTAAGCAGAACACCTGCCTCCACCTCTCTTCTCTGCTCGTCTGAACCCTCTACTGCCTTTCAAAACAAACCAAGTTCTAACTTACCCAAGTCTTCTTTGCACTAATTCCAGCTCATATCTCTTTCCCTAACTTTATATTGCCTTGGCGTGCCATACACGAAATGAACTTATATTTTGCTATGAAATTATGATGTAGCTTTATACATGTTTATTTCTAACACAGCAAGACTCTGCCGCTCCTTTTTTGCACTGATTCCCTCACCATCCTGTGCCCCATACAGCTTAGCACAGTTGCAGCAACATGGGAGACCCTTAATAAATGCTTGCGGATTAAACTATTCAACTGGCTATGAAGGCATCTTGAAAAAATATTTGAAAGAAAAACGCTTATGCATTTTGCGGTTTCCAAACCTTCACAACTCAGGTCAGATTAACCTACCTACAAACTTATTTCAGTATTAGTTCCAAATATGTTATTTATCACTCTCATAAAATCTGCAACTTCAAATTAGCCCAGGAATAAGGATATTCTTCTCATCAAAGTAATGCAAATAAGAGTGTTGAAAATCATCTTTCTCTTTTCCTCCCTTTGCTTTTAGTTAAAGAAAGGATACTGACTTCTGTGGTAGTAAATTGATCTCGAAGAAAGTCAAGGTCTTCCTCAAGGGAATCAAGATTCTTTGTAGCAGTCGATAAATTCTTTTCCAACAATGCCTGGGCTTCATCAATATCATATTCAAGCATCACATTAGCCTGGAGAGAGAAAGTCACAACAATTACTCAACATTCACACAGTGTCTCACAGGGTCGGCAGGGGTTAGGCCAAATCTAGCTGCCCTTTCTTAGAAGTTTTCTTGGACTCCAGATATTCTCCATTCACTTATGCGTTCACACCACAGTGGCAGAGCTGGGTACTCGTGACAGAGACCGTGTGGTCTGCAGAACCAAAATATTTACTCTCTGACCATGGGGCACCTGGGCGGCCCAGTCGGTTGGGCATCCAACTTTGGTTCAGGTCATGATCTCACAGTTTGTAAGTTCGAGCCCCACATCAGGCTCTGTACTGACAGCTTGGAACCTGGAGCCTGCTTCAGATTCTGTGTCTCCCTCTCTCCCTGCCCCTTCTCTGCTCACACTCTGTTTCTATTTCAAAAATAAATAAACGTTAAAAACATTTTTTTTAATATTTACTCTCTGACCTTTTACACAAAGTTTATTGATCCCTGGATTAGAGAATATATTTACGTACACTACATCATCTATTCCTCATAAACAACCCTGGTCAGTCAAGTTACCACCTTCTTTACAGCTAAGAAAATGTGGGCTCAAAGAGGTCAGGTTGCCTACACTAATATAGATAGTAAGTAAACAGGAGAATTAAGAGAAAAACCAATGATCAAACACCAAATTCCATCTTCCTACAACCTCCATGATGACAGTAAACTGTATTACATTTGAATCAATTTATTTTCTTACAGTTTATTTCGTTTGAGAGAGGGAGACAGAGGGAGAGAGGGGATTCCAAGCAGGCACCACACTATCAGTGCAGAGCCTGACTCAGGGCTCCATCTCATAAACTGTGACATTACGACCTGAGCTGAAACCAAGAGTTGGACACTTAACCGACTGAGCCACTCAGGTGCCCCACATTTGAATCAATGTAAATAGCTGTTTCTGGGGCGACTGAGTGGCTCAGTCAGTTAAGTGTCTGACTTTGGCCCAGGTCATGATCTCACATTTTGTGAGTTCGAACCCCGCGTGGGGTCTCTGATGACAGCTTCTGAAACAGAATCTGTTTCAGATTCTGTGTCTCCCTCCCTCTCTCTGCCTCTCCCCTTCTTGTGCTCTCTCTCTCTAAAATAAATAAACATTAAATTTTAATTTAACTTAAAAAAAGAAAGTTGTTTCTGAGCTTAAGCTTAAGTAATTTAAAAGTTTTCAAATACATATATATTATGTAATTTGATCCAGTAATGTAATGGCAAGCTTTTACTGTCCCCTTCCTTTTCTTCAAATATTTTTTAATGATTTTATTTATATTTGAGAGGGGGGCGGGCAGAGAGGAAGACACAGAATCCGAAACAGGCTCCAGGTTCTAAGCTGTCAGCACAGAGCCTGACGTTGGGTTCGAACTCACGAACAGCAAGATCAGGACCTGAGCTGAAGTCGGACGCTTAACCGACTGAACCACCCAGCAGCCCCTATTGTCCCCTTCCTACCTCCAACAGACGTTAGGAGCAAAGACAAAGTGACTGTGTTGAATTCTGAAGCTCTGGTGTTACTGCCTACACTTAGAGATGCGGGCATTCTGGAGGTGGGGAACCAAACCTCCTCCAGCACTGAACTCTTCCCATCACCTGACTTACACTGGGCATTTCCTGAACCACTTCCCTCATCTGACAAATGGAATTTAAAAATTACTCAAAAGATGGTTGTAAGGATTAAATCAGACAGACAATATGAAAGTGTCTGGCACAAAGTAGGTGCTACATAAATAAATACTTACTGACTGAATAACCCAATCCGTGACAGTTAGAAAACTGTATACAAATTCGAATAGGACAAAAAAAAATTCAATGGAAGTACATGTCTCTTAAATCCCAGACCCCAATCTCATTCCCGAGTCAAGTGACACTGTCTCTTATTACTGTTTAGTTTTCAGAAAATCTCCACACTTTGGAGCTGTACACGTAGCTTGTTACTTTGTATGAGAACCCGCCTGGGGGAATGAGACCTGTGGACAGTTACCTGGCCCATCAGGAATGGCCTGGATGTCTGGTCAGGCGACTGAGAGGAGTAAGGCAGGAAAAATCACAGACAGGGCCTATGAAATTGTCTAAAATTGAAATATATGGTTTAAAAAATGGACTCCATTGTCAAGGTTTTTTAATCATCTTTCCCCCTTAATTTTAGAGAGAACTAATAAACTCTTACGGGAAAGAAACATTTATCGGAGGTTCAACAGTCCTTTCCATTTTACTTCTCTTGCTCTTCCTTCTGTTACATTTAAACAATACAGCACGAGAGGAAGGGGATGAGGGTTTCAGGTAGTTCTGTCTTGACCAGGAGAGAGCCGAGCATATTGTGCAGCTCACCACACTCCTCACCTCAGTCCGTCTCCAGTACAGACCCCTTGAACTCCACCTCTGTTCCTTCCAGGGTCAAAGACAGATGGGCACTTTACCCAGCTCAAACAGTACTGCTATGCCGGGAAAACCATGCTGGTTTACAAATGTAAGCCAAGAAAGCTGTGGCCATTTTCGGTTACTTACCCCCAACCACAGACACACTTTATCAGTAGGAGGAACTGAAGCCTTGCAATACAGGTTATCCGCCAGTAAGAATCTAGTCTCCAGTGAGCTGGTGGACTCCTTGGAAAAAAATGACAGTACTGTAAATAGGTCAGTTTAATTAAAAAGGTTATAAAGGAGAGATCACAGATCTGAACCTAAGTCACTGAAAACTGTACCATCACGCCAACTAAGTGTAGTGGCAATAGAAATGAACGCTGGAGCCAGACACCTGGGTGGGGGGGGGGGGGATGGATTCTGGATCAGCTACTTACTACCTGTGTAAACTGAGCATTTCACTTGACCTCTCTGTGTCTCAGGTTCCTGGTCTGTAAAATTAGGAAAATTGTCCCTACATCTCTGAAGGCTGTAGCAAGCAGACTTTACACAAACACAGACACACACACACAACAGTGCCTGGCACAAAGTAAGTGCTATGCAAGAGTCAGCAATTATTACTTCACCAGTGCTTCATGCCCAACCAACCAGTTTTCTGAAGTTTCTTACAAATTTCACCACATGAGTTTATAGATACAGCGGAATACTACTTGGCAATGGGAAAGAATGAAGTCCTGCCATCTGCAAAAATGTGGATGGAACTGGAAGATATTATGCTGAGTGAAACAAGTCAGTCAGAGAAAGACAGATATCATATGTTTTCACTCATATGTGTAATTTGAGAAACTTAACAGAAGACCATGGGGGAAGGGAAGGGGAAAAATAGTTTCAAACAGAGAGGGAGGCAAACCATAAGAGACTCTTGAATACAGAGAAAAAACTGAGGGTTGATGGGGGAGGGGTGAGGAAGAGGGGTAAATGGGTGATGGGCACTGAGGAGGGCACTTGTTGAGATGAGCACTGGGTGTTGTATGTAAGTGATGAATCACGGGAATCTACTCCCGAAGCCAAAAGCACACTATATATACTGTAGGTCAGCTAACTTGACAATAAATGATATTAAAAAAAACTTCACCACATAAAATAATGTATTAGAAATACAGTTATCCTGTCAAGTAACAAATCGTATACATATACACATACATATAATCTATTAAATATAATATGCTTATAAAATTTAATCTTTATAGCCTCTAATGAGTATGGGATTAAGACTCAGCACATTTTCAAATCCAGTTCTGCCAATAACCAGCTATGTGACACTGGTCAAGTGTAACCTCTCTGTAATGGTCCCCTCAACTGTGAAATGAGAACCCAAAACATAATTTCTAAGACTCTTTGCAGATCTGTAAATCTTGGACTCACTCCTTATTCTTAGGGAGAACAACAACAACAAAAACCCTTAGATGCTATTACCTCAAAATAAGGTATTTTCTTTTTGTATCGAAAATAATTTGGGGGTGCCTGGGTGGCTCAGTTGGTTAAGTGTCTGACTTTGGCTAAGGTTGCAATCTCACAGTTTGTGGGTTCAAGCCCTGCGTTGGGTTCTGTGCTGGCAGCTCAGAGCCTGGAGCCTGCTTCAGATTCTGCATCTCCCTATCTCTCTGCCCTCCCTCCCATTCGTGCTCTCTCTGTCTCTCTCAAAAATAAACAAACATTAAAAAAATTTAAAAAAGAAAATAATTTCAAATTGCATTTAAGTTTTATAAATACTCCATATAAGTAAAATAATCCAAGATGTGTAGACCCTAAAATTAAAGCTGACTTGGCAAAACAAGCCACAAAGCCACATTTATCACAGAAGCACACTGCACATGTACATAAGAATCAAGGCGGCAGACTGGATCTACCAGCACATTCAAATACCAGTAACCAAGGAGTCAAGGAAGATGAATTTCTGCTGAAGTATTCTGGTTCATTCACATTTATAAACAAAAATGCACTTACTTTTTTCTTCTGCATGTATTTTAGAATTTCTAATGTCTGCTTAATTTCAGGAATCTGACCTTTCAGCCTGTGAATAAGAAAAAGGTTGACTTAGTGTTCTGCAGGCAAGAAAAACCCTAGGACACAGTCTTACTGGCTTTGCATTTTCTATCGATATCTTTTTGAGGACTGCTAAAATCATCCATTTGTCAAAACCCACAGAATATACAAGACAACAGTGAACCCTAAGGTAAACTAGGGAGTTTAGTTAATAAAAATATATTATTATTATGTATTGGTTCATCATTCATTTATTTTTTAAGTTAGGCTCTATGCCAAAAGTGGGGCTCGAATTCACGACCCCTAGAGCAAGAACCACATGCTCTACACATTGAGCCAGCCAGGAGCCCCTTGACTCATCAATTGTAGTCAATGTCCCACTCTGGTGGAGGCTGTTGAGCTGTTGAGAATGGGGGATGCTCTGCAGGTTTGGGGAGGCACAGAGTGTATGGGAAACCTCTGTACCTTCTGTTCAACTGTGCTATGGAGATGTGCTCCATAAGTGCTCTAAAAATGAACATCTATTAAAAATTAATCTTAAAAAACGAAACTACTAGCAACTGTCCCAAGTAACATCAATGTCACTGACAAGAAAATAAGAGATAAAAATATAATGAAAACACTCAGAGTTACTTAGAAGAAAGAATGAAACATTTTTTATTTTGTTGGCACTGAAGGTTAGCTCTTTTCTGTGATGATTAGAGGCTGCCCAAGGTCATAAAATGTTTTGCATGGAAAAATGTGCAAATGTGGGGTCCCTGTCAAATCACAATGGAATCTGCAACAAAACAAACTAAGGATACAGAAACAAAGCCGTGGTTCTTTCAGAATGCATTTAACTAAACGTGACTGGAGATTGGTACGTAAACAAAATTTAAATGTGTTAATGAAAATGTACTTATTATAGAAGTGTTGAATCACTATATTGTACACCTGAAGCCAATATAACACTGTATGTTAACTACACTGGAATTTAAATGAAAATTTGATAAACAAAGAAAATATACTTATTATATAAAGGAAGTCACTGGGGCGCCTGGGTGGCGCAGTCGGTTAAGCGTCCGACTTCAGCCAGGTCACGATCTCGCGGTCCGGGAGTTCGAGCCCCGCGTCGGGCTCTGGGCTGATGGCTCAGAGCCTGGAGCCTGTTTCCGATTCTGTGTCTCCCTCTCTCTCTGCCCCTTCCCCGTTCATGCTCTGTCTCTCTCTGTCTCTCTCTGTCCCAAAAATAAATAAACGTTGAAAAAATATATATATAAAGGAAGTCACAGCATGCATGAAGAGCAGCAGGGAAAACTTTATTTTACCCTGTGCTACTGACCTGGCAAGAAGTGTGGTAGAAGAGCTTGCTACTTAAAAAAAAACAGTATCGATACCATAATGTCTTTTTTTAAACATTTATTCATTTTTGACAGAGACAGAGTGTGAGCGGGGGAGGGGCAGAGAGAGAGGGAGACACAGAATCCGAAGCAGGCTCCAGGCTCTGAGCTGTCAGCACAGAGCCCGACATGGGGCTCGAACTCACAGACTGCGAGATCATGACCTGAGCTGAAGTTGGACACTTAACCAAATGAGCCACCCAGACACCTAATACCATACTGTCTTGATGACTACAGCTTTGTAATACAGCTTAAAGTCTGGGATTGTGATGCCCCCAGCTTTGCTTTTCTTTGCCCACATTACTTTGGCTATTTGGGGTCTTTTCTGGTTCCATACAAATTTTAGGATTGTTAGCTCTGTGAAGAATGCTGGTGTCATTTTGATAGGGATTGCACTCACTGAATGTGTAGATTGCTTTTTGGAAATAAAGTCCAGTGAATAATCTAGAAACACATACTTAGCATTTATGTTTTTTACTTAGTTTGAAGGATAATGCTTTGTGAACTCTTTACAAATTCAATATGGATGTTGTAGATCTTCCAATTTTGCTTACTTTTGTATTCTGTGTTGATACAGGTAAATGTTAAGGAGCTATATTTGTAAAATATGTGATACACATACAACATAAGAAGAATGTTCAGATAAAGATTTTTTGGTCATGCCAATGATTTCTAACATATATTTTTGTATGTAAAAATATTACATGTTATACATAAATTATGGAGCATATATAAATCAATCAGCTGCAGCCCCAGGCAACTTAGGAACCTCATCACCCCTCCCCAGTCTGCTCCATCCCAAGAGATAGCAGCTCTCCTGAACCATATGCTTATAGCCCCTTTTTCTCTTTTTCAAGAGTTTCATCACATTTACGTACATCCCCAAATAATATATTCTTTGCAGGTTTCTTGGCTTAATACAATCTCGTGTTATATGTGGTTTTATTGGGTTTGCTTTTTTAACTCAGTTAGGTTCCTAAGACTTGTTCATTCATTTTCAGCTGTGTAACATTAAATTCTGAATATAGCACATCTTCTTTATCTACTCTCTTGCCAGTGGACAGTTGGGTCAGTTCTACGTCATTGTTATTATATGAACAACAGAAATCTCTAAGTTCCAGGAATGGGTAGCGGAGTGAGAAGGGAGATGAAGGTTTAGAAGGGAAGCAAACCAAATCTTCAAAAGGGGAGTACAGCTAAAGGAGAACTTTCTAGGTGTTTTCTCCTCCATCTAAATTGCTCTGGGTGAATCACCTTACCTACTCTGTCATTGCTATGGGGTGGAAAAAGAGTAGAACTGACCAGAAGCAGAGAGGTCGGGCTGAGGAGCTGAGAAGACAAATACTGGTCCCCAGTCATCCCCTTCCCCACTCCTACTCCCAGGAGTGATGACACCAAAGACAGCCAAGGGCGGAGGAACTAAAAGAATCCTCAGAGACCAAGTCACCTGGTTGGGGAGAAGGGACATTTGTCCAATGGTGGTGTCCTAGACTATAACACTAACAGGATTCTTCCTACCCCTACTCACCAGGAGGGGCTTAAATTACTCCCACCTCCACATTACTCCATGACTGGCCAAAGTAACTGGTATCCCTGAGGGAATGTGAGCTGATGGGGAAAAGAAATGATAATCTGATAAACACAACTACAATAAAAAAAAGACAATTAAATGCAACAATGTCCATCAGATGAAACAAAATGAAATACTAAAAGATTAGATTATCAATAAGTATTTAAAAATACCTCAGAGAGCAAAAAAAGGATTATTGGTAATATGAAGAAGAAACAAGTAGCTATAAGAAGAACCAACCAGAATGACTAGGTATAAAACGTAATGGCTCAAATAAGGAACTCATGGACATCCATCTAATCGCCAAAAGTCAAATTACCAAAGTCAGAAGAGAGGAAATAATAGAGAAATGGAAAGCAGAATTAGAAGCATCAACATCTATATTGACAGGAATCCCGAAAGGAGAAAAAAATTAACAGAAAAAAATGCAAAAAATGATAATCACAAAATTTCCGGTTAAAGAACAATAAAAGGCATACAATTCAGGTGTTAGAGAGGAGATTACCACAAGAGAATTATGAAATACTAAAGAACTTCTATACTGAAGGCGAAGTTAAAGACAAATGACAGGCTGCAAGGAACCATTTACAGCATATGTAAAGACAGAGGTTAGTATGCAAACTACTACATAGAGCCATCTGCTGCAAAACAACTCAATCGTGCACAAAAAAAATCGTTTTTGTTGCATAGCTGATATCAGAGGTGAGGGAAGTTCCAGAAAAAAATTAAAGGGTAAAAAACTGGAAAAGGCTTTGGGTTGCGCAGTGAGACCTACAGAAAAGTAAGCATCATGAGTCAGGTGCCACTGTGGGCTGCAGACCTAAGCCTGCCCTCCACCCCCCACCCAGCAGCTCAGTGGGGGAGCTCGCATATTAAGTGCCAGAACAGGAACAGGCTTGTATACAATAAGCACTCCTGGCAAAAGCAAAATCCTCTATGGATAAAGGCAAACCACACAGCTATATCCATACTAAAAGAAAGCAGACATACAGCTCGGTAAGAAAGACAAAAGATAGCCACACACAAATTCCAGTGAATTAAAACAAAAGAGATGATGATATCAAAAGTACCCAAAAAGAAAAATTAGTTTATCTAAAAAGAAAGGCTAGGTTTAAAACAATAACCTTATGTTGTTTCCATGGAACACCCTTAAAAAGAAATAATAAACAGGTAGACAATGAAGAGACAGAAGAGATTCATCAAGAAAATGTTACCCGAAAAAAGCTGGAACAGCTGTAAGCATTCAACAAAACAGACCTGAAACAATAAGCATCATTTTATATAGGGTTAAGTTCACCAAAACATAGTAATTCTCAAACTGCATGTGCCTGATAATGTAGACTAAAAAGGTTTTAAAAAGGGATACAAATTGTCCCAGGTTCAGAGGGGAGACCGGCCCTCCCACCTGTAACCGTCCCAACAGCCAGAGAAAACACACACCCTGTTAGCTGGAAGGCAGCGGAGAGCCACTGAGGGTGGCAGGGACCACACGGGTGACCCCTGCGAGGGAAGCAACTTGGAAGTGAGCTGATCTCCTGCAGCTACTTTACCACATAATAGGTAGGGGATGCTTCTCTTTATAGAAGTATACCAGCTTATTAATAAATTTAAAAATAACTGAACTAGAACATCATTTTGCAACTCACAACGAATGGATCCAGCATGGAGTATCATAAAAAGAGACAACTAGATACTATCTACCTCTTAATGGAAAAACGTTACACAAACCTATGAAGCAGTACTGTCAAAAAACCACAAAAACCCTGAATACAATTAAGACCGTAGATCCAACTACCAATTTATAGTATTGAGAGGACAAAGAGAGAGGACAAAGAAACATGCTAGAAAGTTTCACAACTGCTTCAAAATTTAGCAACATACTTCTGAATAACCCATGGATTATAAAGATCTAAATGTGAAAAGATAAAACAATAAAACTTAAAGAATAAAACATGAAGAGGATATCTTCATGAACCTGGGATAGGAAAGTATTGCTTAAATAGGATACAAAAAAGCACTGACTAGTAAGGAAAAAGATTGTTAAACTGCACAACATTACAATTAAATAGTGCTGAGTCAAATACTATGTCCACAGTATATCCACTAAAAAAAGAAATTGAAAGCCTACCACACACCATACATAAATTTCTAGATTAAGACGTTAAACGTGAAAAGCAAAATTTTAAAACTTTTATAAGAAAACATAGAAGTTTGTCTTTTTAAACACAAATATAAGGATAGGATTTCTTAAACAAGACACAAAAAAATATTAAGGGAAATTTTAATCGAAAACATTTAAATTAAGAACTACTCATCAGAAGAAACCATAAGAAAAAAGACAAATCACAAAAGGAAGAAAAATTTCTCACCCATATAACTTAAAAGGATTAGTATCCAATATACAGTTGACCTTTGACAATGCAGGGTTGACAAAATTCCCCCATATGGTCAAAAATCCACGTATAGGGGTGCCTGGGTGGCTCAGTTGGTTAAGCATCTGACTATTGATTTTGGCTCAGGTCATGATCTCATGGTTCGCGGGATTGAGCCCCGAGTCAGTCTTCTGTGCTGATAGCACAGAGCCTGCTTGGGATTCAGTCTCTCCTTCTCTCTGCCCCTCCCCTGCTTATGCTCCTTCTCTGTCTCTCTCAAAATAAATAAATAAACTTAAAAAAAACAAGAACACATATATTTTAAAAAATCCACATATAACTTTTGACTCCCTCAAAAACTTAACTACTAATAGCCTGTTGACTGGAAGCCTTACTGGTAACATAAAAAGTCAATAAGCATATATTTTATATAATATGTGATATGTATTATAGACTGTATTCTTACAGTAATACCTGACGTTTTCTTATTTTTTTCCAGTATTTCAAGGCTATGTGGTTCATCTGTGAGTTTTTTTCAAAAGGTCACACATCCTCAAAAAATTTTTATAGATGTGTGTGTATATATATATATATATATATATATATACACACACACACACATATATATATATACACACACATATATCATACACATAAACACACACACACCCTCTTACTCCATTTTCTATTTCCTTTGCATTTATTGCCTTCTAACCTACTGTATACTCTAGTTCTGTTTTCTGGTTGGAATGCCAGCTCCATGAGGACACAAATTCTTATCTGTTTTGTTCACTGATATATACTAAGTATTTAGGATGATGCCACATATTAGGTGCACAATAAATATTAATTCTATTGAACTGTGTGTTTACTATCTACATTCCACTAGACTGCAACATCTCCAAGGGCAGGGACTGTCTGTTTTGTTAACTGATATACCCCAAATGTACCTAATTAGGAAGACTGCAGGTGCACACTGCAATTTTTATCCCTCACATTCAGGCCTAGAGCATATATAAACCTGGAGTGAGTACCCTACTATACCACACAGTACTAGAGTTAGCAATATAACTTTGATACACAAATTTCCTCCTCACTCCCAGGGCTTGATCCTGAGGCCCATTTTCTTCTCTATCTATAACCTCCCTGTGGGTGACCTGAAATCCAATGGCTTTATTCTTCTTTTTAAAATGAAAATAAACTTTATTACAAAATCGGTATGTGAGAAGCGCCTGGGTGGCTCAGTCCATTAAGTGTCCGACTCTTGGTTTCAGCTCAGGTCATGATCCCAGAGTTGTGGGATTGAGCCCTGCATTGGGCTCCATGCTGACAGCACAGAGTCTACTTGGGATTCTCTCTCACTCCCTTGCTCTCTACCCTTCCCTCACTCACGCTACCTCTCTCTCTCTCTCTCAAAAATAAACTTTAAAAAAGCAGCATATGAATATTGTAGAAATGTAACAATACAGATGACCAAATTTCTAAAAATGCCATATTCCCACCACCCAGAGATTATCACTGTTAATACACCATTAGTGTACTTCCAAATATTTGTGTACATATACAATTTTTTTCCAAAATGAGAGCATACCATAGTGTTTTCTATCCTGCCTTTTTCTGCTAACATTCTCTATCTGTTCATGTCAATAACTTCTCATCTTATTTAATACCCAGCCCATATTCAAATTACCCTGTCACCAAAATCAAATGAGAAAACATGTCTAAAGAAACTTTTGCACTTTGACATAAATGGCACCTTATGCCCAGGTGACCCTCCTTCCTTTAGTCTGCCTCCAAAACTCATACCCAGCCTTCAGAATTCTACAGAGCCATATGCTCTTCTTGGAAGCTTCCCCTGAACCTCCTTGCCCCCCTCCAGATCACACCTCTCCCTTGCTAACTCATTCCTTTGCACCGAAGTATCTTGACTGTTATACTTTATGTACTTATCTTATTTACATATCTATCATGCCACTAGACTGTGTCCCTGTTGAGAGCAGATACTGGACCTGATTTCACCCAAACAGGATCTGGCACCTAGTCGGAATTCCATAAATATTTAACTGACAGAAGAATGCTGCGTTTGTGCACAGCAGATATCCGCAAATATTTACTACAGTGAACTGACTTTATAAGCTACTATAAAAATACAGGGAAATAAACAAGTAAAAGCAAGGATCCATTTGTCCTATGCCTATTAGTTATGAAATTTCAGGAAAATCATAACCTCTATGCATCTCTCATCTCATCAGAAAAATAAGGATGAACTAGAGATTTAAGATGTTATGACCCTAGGTGCTTTGGAATAAGGTCTTCAATATTCATTCTATTATGTTTTCAAAACCATCTTTAGACTAATAACACCGAGTACTGGCAAGGATGTGAAACAATTGGAACTCCCATACATTGCTGGTGGGAGTGAAATGTGGTATAGCCACCTTGGAGAACTTTTGGCAGTTTCCTCATAAAATTGAACATTATACTTACAGGTCAGCAATTCTAACCTTAGGTAATTACTCAGAAGAAGAAAACATACACATGCACAAAGACTTCAAATGCAATGGGGAAACAACCTAAATGTCCATTGGCAGGCAAATAGATAAAAATAGATAAAAACTGGATGGAACTAGAGGGTATCATGCTAAGCTAAATTAGTCAGAGAAAGACAAATATCATATGACTTCACTCATATGAGAACTTTACGATACAAAACACATTAACATAAGGGACTCTTAAATATGGAGCACAAACTGAGGGTTGCTGGAGGGGTTGTGGGTTGGGGGTGGGCTAAACGGGCAAGGGGCATGAAGGAAGACCCTTGGGATGAGCACTGGGTGTTATACATAGGGGATGAATTACTGGAATGTACTTCTGAAATCATTATTGCACTATATGCTAACTAACTTGGATGTAAACTTAAAAGATAGATAGATAGACAGATAGATAGATAGATAGATAGATAGATAGATAGATAGATAGATACAACTCAGGCAACAACAGATGTTGGTGAGGATGCAGAGAAAGAGCATCTCTTTTGCAATGCTGGTGGGAATGCAAACTGGTACAGCCCCTCTGGAAACAGTATGGAGGTTCCTCAAACAATTAAAAATAGAACTACCCTACAACCCAGCAATTGTACTACTAGGTATTTATCCAAGGGATCCAAGTATGCTGTTTTGAAGGGACACATGCACCCCCATGTTTATAGCAGCACTATGAACAATAGCCAAAGTATGGAAAGAGCCCAAATGTCCATTGATGGATGAATGGATAAAGAAGATGTGGTATATAGATACAATGGAGTATTACTCAGCCATCAAAAAGAATGGAATCTTGCCATTTGCAACTACGTGGATGGAACTGGAGGGTATGATGCTAAGTGAAATTAGAGAAAGACAAATATCATATGACTTCACTCATATGAGGACTTTAAGATACAAAACAGATGAACATAAGGGAAGAGAAGCAAATTTAATATAAAAACAGGGAGGAGGGCAAAACATAAGAGACTCTTAAATATGGAGAATAAACAGAGGGTTGCCTGAGGGGCTGCGGGGGGATGGGCTAAATGGGTAAGGGGCATTAAGGAATCTACTCCTGAAATCACTGTTGCACTATATACTAACTTGGATATAAATTAAAAAATAAACAGCACATCACATAGAAAAAAAATAGATAAAAATTGTGGTACATACATACAATGGAACAAGATTCAGCAATAAAAAGAAATTAACCCACTGACACACACAAAATCATGGATGACTCTTAAAAGCATTATACGAAGTGTAAAAATCCTGACATAAAATAGTAGTTACTACATGCTTTCGTTTATATGAAGTTCACAAACAGACAAAACAAATTTATGGTGAAAACAATCAGAACAGTGGTCAGCTCTGGGAGTGGGCAGGACTGGCCAGAAAGGGGCAGGAGGGAACTTCCTACAGTGATAGGAATGTTCTACATATTGATCTGGGCAATGGTTACAGAAGTGGATCCATCTGTGAAAATTCATCAAACTAAAATTCAAGATCTGACCTTTTTTTTTTTGAGAGAGAGAGAGAGAGAGAGAGAGAGAGAGCGCGCATGTGAGCAGTAGAGGGAGAAAGAGAAAATCTTGAGCAGGCTCCACACCCAGTGCGGAGCCCAAGTGGGGCTCGATCTCACAACCTAAGATCATGACCTGAGCTGAAATCAAGAGTCAGATGCTTAACTGACTGAGCCATCCAGGCACCCCTGGACATTTCATTATATGTAAATTATGCCTTAATTCTTAAAAAGTTTAAGCCATACAAGATTAACCAAAAAGAAAAAAAAAAACCTCATGTAAATTTTTACACTTACCTCCTTTTCTTTTGAGCAAGATTGAGCTCCATAAACTTATACTTCTGGTACTGTTCATCCAGCTTCTTCAGTACTATATCTGCAGTCTCATTCCCAGGCTGTTTCATGAAGGAATCCACATCTTCCTTTATTATCAAAAATAATACATGACAAATTTTAGAATTTATACCTCTAAGCTGATTTTTGAGTACTTCAACTTTATCTTTAAAACATAAAAGAAGGGGCGCCTGGGTGGCGCAGTCGGTTAAGCGTCCGACTTCAGCCAGGTCACGATCTCGCGGTCCGTGAGTTTGAGCCCCGCGTCGGGCTCTGGGCTGATGGCTCAGAGCCTGGAGCCTGTTTCCGATTCTGTGTCTCCCTCTCTCTCTGCCCCTCCCCCATTCATGCTCTGTCTCTCTCTGTCCCAAAAGTAAATAAATGTTGAAAAAAAAAATTTAAAAAAAAAATAAAACATAAAAGAAAAAAAAGAAGCTTGTATTTCCTTTCTCCAAAGGCTTGTTTTTAACTAAAAAAGTAGTTATAAAAAGCATTTCAGACATCGCACATACATTATGTATCCAATTTATTCTTCCTCCGCCTTCCTCTTTTTATTTATATATAGGGAAAGAAAGATGACCTTACCTGCTTTATGCACCCCCAGGTGGCCCTAGTAATGAAATGAAAATGGTAATGAAAATTACCAACAAACACATTGCCTAGTCACATGCCCCAGCCACAAAACAACTCAGATTGTATGCCAAAATTATCGATTAAGTTTTTTTTTAATGTAGGCTCCATGTCCAACATGGGGCTTGAACTCATGACCCTGAGACCAAGACTCACATGCTCTACTAACTGAGCCAGCCAGGTGCCCCTCGACTAAAATTTTTAATTCAACAAGTTCTGCCACTGAAATCATGTTAAATATGGTCATTTGGTTCCCAAGGCAAGCCACAAATACCTCCTTAAGTATCAACTGGTCAAAATAAAATAAACCTGAAAGGCAAACGGAACAATCTTTTGTAACAGGAATAATTACGCAAAAAAAAAAAGTAGTCAAACTGAATACCATTTTTTAAAACGTATACTACATCCTGGTCCTTAAAGAAAAGCTAGTTAATTAAATAAGGATCAAGAACTAGATGAAAATATATGGAAGCTTTAAGCCAATCCTACTGGAGCTTTCCAGCACTTAAAAGAACGTTTTTCCTTCACTGTACGTTAAATTCAACTACCTTATGGTTTCTGCAATCTCTAGATCATTACTCTTATCCATGCTTACTAGCTATAAGGGAATATTTCAGCTAAAGCAAGACAAGAAGCAAATGAAAGAGAAACACAGCAAGGGAGTGAACCATGAGGCCATCAAAATTATCGGTCTAACACAGCAAAAGAAACTGAAAAGGTGAGGCTGGGGGCAATGGCTGAACTCTGCATGTAAAATGGAGACACATCTTCCTAGAAGGGTCACTGCAGGAAAGAGATCTAAATTAAAGTTTCTAGCACACGGTAAACATTACTAGGAGCTTAGAGTCTAGCAAGGAGAATTAACCGTAGCAGCACAAGCATTGTGGCTACAACACAGGGCCTGCCTGGTTTGAATCCTGGCTTCACCACATACTAGATGTGTTCACTTCGGGGAAGCTACTGAACCTCTCTCTTTGCCTCAACTTTCTCATCTGTAAAATGAGAATACCTTTTCCTCACAGGGGATTAAATGAGTTAGCATATGTCAAATTCTTAGAAGAATACATGACAGGTAATAAGTGCTCAACAAACATTAGCTATGTGTATAATACAATCAGCTGAGGGAACTGATGAAAGTGCCAAGCATTCTGTCTTGGGGCAGTGGTAGTGATCCAGCAAAACTACAGAGAGGTCCTATCTGAACTAGATGTTGAGAGATTAAGAGGTCAGCCACTAGGCAAAGGGGAAAGAGACAATTCCAGCAAAGAAAACAAACTACTGCACCAGTGGGAATGGAGAAAAGGATGAGGTCTTTTAACCAATACAGTATACTACCTCCTATCATCAAAGAAACTAATACATATTCAGCATCTACTTGGAATACTGAAAGTACATGTTGCTTCCCACGGCAACTAAGCATTGTTATCCCTATTACACTTAAAGCCACTGGGGCTCAAAGCGGTAAAATAATATGCGCAACATGAGGCAGTAATTGGGAAGTCCAGGCAGGATTCAAACCCTGGTCTGTTTAGAAGCCAATGTTCTTTCTACAGTACATGTTATTCACATAATACATAAAAATTAGGCTGCTTATATATTATATTAGATTGCATATATATTATGTCATACTGGTAGAAAGTTAAAGGTCTAGAAAAAATAACCCATAGCAGTTTTAGGGGGAAATGGCATTTTAAGATAAGACTTTATAAAGTGTCAGATAAAGTGTATCCTCTGGAATTAGATTTTTGAAGTCACCCCTCGCTGAGGACCAAGAATGCAGTGTTCAAGGCACTGTGGAAATTGAATTCAACGTCTAGTTGAGATTATACTACGTGTCAGGCACTGTGCTAGGACTAGGAGAAATGACACTGAGCCAAGATGACCACCTCACTTTCCTCCCACTGGCAGAGCAGAATGTATAAATAGTGGCTCTGGTGCTCCACAGACTGCCCAAGTTCAAATCCTCAGTCACCTGCTTACGCACTATGACTTGGGGCAAGTTACTGAAGTACCCCAGTTTCATCATCTACAAAATGGAAATGATAATCATACTCGCCCCCCAGAGTTCTGTAAAAGCATCAGGAAAGCGCCTGGCAGTCAACAAATTTTGTCTCTTGTTACCATTAGTTGGGAAATGAATGGAAAGAAACAAATGGTACAAAATAACAAAAGAAAACAACTACAAAATTGAATCACCAAATGCAACTATGCAATAGAGTGTATATAAAAGTGGTCTAAATAAAGAATAAATTGGGTCCATCGAACGATGTACGCTATCATTAACAAAGAGGTGGAGATACGGCAATATAGGTACAACCCAAAAGGTCGAGAACACTTCATTAAGACTTTACAGCAGCTCAGTCAGAAGTGAGTGAGGAAAGACGGAGGATACTGGGCTGAAGGCCAGTCGGGTTCTCTCTCACTCACTTTTCAAAAACCATTTCTAGAGCAGCCTGATGGAAGAACAGTGTTGAAAGCATCTAGTTGCTTCTCTCTGGTTGGACTTCCGTTGAACTCCCTGTTCTACAGTGAAGCCTCCAAATTGCATTCCCTGCCTCCTCTCTCAACTCCACACCGTTAATTCTCTTCCAGCGTCAGAATGACGTACCTAAAACCAAGTATGACCACATCGTGCCTTTCCGTAGACACTTTCTAACGACAGCCCGGTGCCTACTGCACACAGCCTCGATTCCTTAGGACACACGAGGCCTTCGCACTCGGCCTCCACGCTACTCTCCCATCGGTGTCTCCTTCCACTCCGGCCAGGCGGCAGGCCACTGCGCCCCTTCAACGCACCGGTAAATTTCCTACTGTCACACCTGGGCACCAGCTGTTCTGCCTACTCACTGTACCCTAAGTCACCAAAACCGCCGGTCGCTCCAGCCTGCAGGCTGAGTCTCTCTCCGGCTTCTCGCCGCCTCCCCCTTTCCCTTTCCCTTTCCCAGCAGCAGAGGGTGAACACCGGCACCCGGGTGGGCGGCCCCTCAGACCGCCCCGCCCCGCCCCACAGGCCTCACGCCCGGCGCCCCCTTCCCTTCTCCGACCGCGTTTCCCCGGGCGGGTCCCGGCACAGTTCAGCGCGTCTAGGCGCCGAGGGAACAGCGGACGAAAGGCTCCCCCAGGTCCATCACCTCCACTCCTCCCCCCGTAGTCAAAGCCGGACTGGAGGCGAGAAAGGAAGGGGTTGCCCGCGGGGCCTACGCCAAGATCCTGAGGACCAGCGTGCCTCTTACCACAAACACGGCCTCAGGAATCCCCAGGTGGAGCCGCCGGCCGTTCCCTGCGGCCACTTCTCCTAATCCACGACCGTCCTTAGCGGCCGCCATCTTGGGAAAGCGAGCGCGCGACTAGCCGCCTCTCGAGCCGCCAACCGCCGGTGGCCCCTGATTGGCTCGCTCACAGCTGCAGGCCCGCCCCACTCTTGTGAATCTGCGCGTTCGTAGGCGCGCAGGAAGTAGCCCCTCCTTCTCTCGGAGGAGGAGGTGCCCAACCTCTGGGTACCGATTGGCTGCGAGCAGGTGAGTGACAAGTGACGAAGTGTCGCGAGGGAGATGCCGGCTTTGCGGGAAGAACCAATGCGGACTCCGGGAAAGAGGGGTACAGGGGATTTTGTGGGTGGGAGGACTCGAGGGCCCTTAGAATCAGAGGTCCAACTGGAACGCCAGTACCGCGCCAAAACGGGCAGCACCCTCCAGAATGGTCTTTGAAGCGACTCGATCCCCCTCTCAGCTTCAAGGTGAACCAGGGACTAGACGCCATCGGGGAGCCTTGGTCTCGGTGCCTTTCTGGTCCCACCATCCCAGCGAGCTTCCTGGCCCTCAGAGGGGACTGGTTTTGTGCCTGCTTCGGTATGGAGCCGTTGGCCCGCTTTTAATAAATACCCAGCCCATTGCACCAACCTTTCCCAAAAGCCACCTTTGATCACAATCTTGCCACCCCAACCCAAACGTTTTCAAAACTTCATGTTCTACATACAAAATCCTAAACTCTTCCGAGGCTTCCAGTCCTAAGGCCTTCCCCAATGTCGTCCGCCACTACAACCCTTTGAAAGCAAGTGCGCTATACAGACCTAAGTAATTATTCTTTGGTCTCCTTTCTAACAACTAACCACCCTGCTCATTCCTGCCTTTGCTTACATTGGAGTGCTTTCCAGTGAAGCGGTGCTCCATCCATTCACACAAACCCTACCATGAGCCAGCTCGTCGACGAATAAAGGATGTTAGTTTCTCTTACTCAGTGGGGATACATATGTAATGATAATACTTATTAACATTTATCAAAGGCTAATTATGTGCCAGTCACTGAGTTTGTGATTTAATCACAGCAAGCCCAGTGTGACAGGGAATATTTTCACCCACAGTTTATAGACAAACTAAAGAACCTTAAAAATGAACTGATAAAGCTTTGGGGTGATTGTGGGGTGGTCCGGAGCTGACAGCCAAGAAAGAATTCTTGAAGATGTCTTTGGTGCAAAAAGGTGATTTTATTAAAGCATGGGGACAGGACCTGTGGGCAGGAAGAGGTGCACTGGGGTCGTGATGGGTAACTGCTTATATACCCACAGGTTGGGGGGGTGGGGCTTAGGGACAGCGTAAGTCTCTAAGGAATCTTGGAAGCAAGGTTTCCAGGACCTTGGGGAACTATCTGTTGCTAGGAAAATGCCATTTATTACCATTTAGTAAAACCTCAGTCATGAGACCCTTCAGATGTATATTAGGGAGCCATAAGCTTGAAGTATGATTGCCAGCATATATCCTGGGGCAGTTGAGATAAGGAAGTTTCCAAAGAAGTTTTATACATTAAAGTAGACTTACAGGTTCCTGCGGGGTGGGTCAGGATAATGTTAAGCCAAGATTCTCTTTTGCCCCCAGCAAAGTGTCATCATAGAGGCAGCTGAGCTCCTAAAGGGACGTCACTCTGCCGGTTTCAAGGACTTGTCAATAAGCGGCTGTAGGCCGTAAGGGAACTTAATTTTTCATTTGCCTTAGTTTCCCACATCACCATGGCATGCACTTAAACCCCTTTCTTTTGTTTTTGGGTAGCCAGGAGTGTCTAAGGAATGTCACACATACCCCACCTGGGGGTGGGGTGCTGTTAGCCTGTACTTTGCCCTCAGCTTGCCCCACTCTCCCTCATCATGGGGTGAGGGATGGCTCATTTGTGGATGGATCATTTGTGGGGTGCCTGGATGGCTCAGTTGGTTAACCATCCAACTTTGGCTCAGGTAACGATCTCGTGTTCATGGGTTAGAGCCCAAGTGGGGCTCTGTGCTGACACCTCAGAGCCTGGAGCCTGCTTTGGGTTCTGTGTGTGTGTGTCTCTCTCTCAAAAACAAATAAACATTAAAAAAAATTTTTTTTTAATGTTGACAGCAGTAATTTCTGGCTACAATTTGAAGTCCCTGGATTTCTCCATACATTGGCAGCAGGAAGAAGTGGAACAGTTGTTTTTAGAAAACTTTTGGCAGTTTTGGGGCACCTGGGTGGCTCAGTCAGTTGAGCATCCAACTTCGGCTCAGATCATGATCTCATGGCTCGTGAGTTTGAGCCTCGCATCGGGCTCTGTGCTGACAGCTCAGAGCCTGGAGCCTGCTTCGGATTTTGTGTATGTCTCTCTCTCTCTCTCTGCCCCTCCCCACTTGCACTCTGTCTCTCTCAAAAATAAAATAAACATTAAAAATTTAAAAAAAAACCTTTTGGCAGTTTTAATTTTAGACAAACACCTATTCTATGACTCACCCATTCCACTCCTATATATTTACCCAGGAGATATATCCATGTTGATCTGCAAAAAGATTCATACAAGCATGCTTGTAGAACTTGTATGTGTACATTAGTTTAAAATTTGGCTTAGGGGAGCACCTGCGTGGCTCCATCGGTTAAGGGTCTGACACTTGGTTTTGGCTCAGGTCATGACCTCACAGTTCATAAGATCAAGCCCTGCATCAGAACCTGCGCTGACAGCACAGGGCCTGCTTGAAAGTCTCTCTCTCTCCCTCTCTCTTTCTGCCCCTCCCCCATGCTCTCTCTCTCTCTCTCAAAATAAATAAATAAACATTTAAAGATATTTTTTAAAATACAATTTTGTTTAGGGGCACCTGGGTACCTCACTTGGTTAAGCATCTGACACTTGGCTTGGCCTCAGGTCATGATCTCATGGTTCGTGGGATTGAGCCCCACCTGTGCAGAGCCTGCTTGGGATTCTCTTTCTCCCTCTCCCTCTCCCTCTGCCCCTCCCTTGCTTGCACTCTCTCTCTTTCTCTGTCTCTCTCAAAATAAATAAATATACTTAAAAATAATAAAATTTAGTTTAAAAATAATGAGTAAGAAGAAAGACTTTCAGATAAACAAAACTGAGTTTATCACAAGCATAACTAAACTAAATGAACTTCTAAAAGATGTACTTCAAAAAAACGAAAAGAATTACAAGAATTACAAGAAAGAATAGCGAACAAAGAATTTGTAAACACATGGCTAAATCTAAGCAAAAACTTTCTGTAAATACTAATCCCTTTTTTTTAAATTATGCTCAACATAGGGCTCAAATTCATGACCCCAAGATCGAGTTGCATGTACTACCAGCTGAGCCAGCCAGATGCCTCATATAAATACGAATACTTTTTATCTGGGGGGCTAACAAAACGGGACAGGTCTAAAATATTGGACCACCATAGTATATAAGTTGGGAGGGAATGGCCTTACAGTTTAAAAGTGTTCTATGGTCCTTGTGTTATTTGGGAGGGAAAATTAAGATATTAACTTTAGTTTTTGATAATTTTGCAGGATACAGTTTCAAGAATAACTATTAAAACAAGAGAAGTAGAGTGCGTCAGCTCTAAAACATTGAATTGAAGAGTCTCAAAAGTACTGATGGTTCAAATGAATGTTTACTTGGCAGATGTGGATGGTTCAGTTCAGGCTTTAGAGAGATCATCACCTTTTTTTTCACCTCTGAATATGAATCTTTGTGCTTTGATACTTCTACACGCATTGTGTCTGCATGAAAGAAAGATAGATATGTAAGTCTTTTATCATTTCTACATATTTTTCCCTGTGGTTATAAAAGAAATTACAAATTTTTTACACCAACCTCTGGTCCATCTTAGTATCTAATACTCGAAGGTTTGTCAGGCCTCCTAAGACAAATATTCAGGAAGTAGGGGACCCAATACATCACCTAAAGACTGAAGGAAGAAAATTCTAGAAAATAATACTCTGAAGCAATGACAGTCTCCCATATGCTTCAGCTACATGCATCCACATTTCCACACTTGCATGCACTTCTGTGCTGGAGCTGTTTTCTCTAGCTGTGATACAAAACTTCTATTATCTATACATCTACTAGTTGAAATCCTCCCTGTCATTTGATACTCATTACCCTGGAACATTTGATCCCTGACTTAATCATCCCCTCCTTTGATTTCCCATGGTGCTTTGTGCTTTCCTATCTGTTTATCTGTTTATCTGGAATATCCTTTCCCCACTCCCTTGACAGGCTATCTATTTTTAAATCTTAGCAATCAACTTAGAGAACACTTCTCTGGGAAGTTGTTCCTGAAATCTCCAGGCTGAGTTATTTATCCACCTGTCCAGGACTGATCCAGTTGGGCTTATTGAATGAAAGAATAAAAGGACTGCTGGGTAAGTATCAGAACCCAGCTGAGGTTTAACAACACAAGTTTGTAGAGGACGAGGTCTGCACAGTTTGGTGTCTTTTTATAATGCTGAAAATGTTAGAATTCATTTTTCTTCTATGAGACAAACAGTACACAAAAGATGTGTAGATTGTAAAACTCTCTTCTGACACTGGCCAAGCCTCCAGTGATTGTACATCTCTGCCAAGGCCCTAAGCAACAACAGTTCAAACATACATTATTTCTTGTGGATGGAGTAGAAGCTGGTCTCTGAGCCTGGTTGCGTATAACTCGTGGGTTGAGGTACCATTTGGTAAGGAGCTCCCACTGGAGTTTGAACCTATGAATTTAAATGGAAAAGAAAACAAAAAGTGAAAACTTAATTACCATTTAATTGCTCTCCCAATACGATAGTACCAGGAGCACAAGTAGCCCCTCCAGAGTAAACACGACACTTAATGAACATCAACTGAAAGGAATGCTAACTGCCAGAGAGAAAAGTAGATGTGAAGGAACTGCTGGTGAGATGGTGTGAAGGAATAAGACCTCAAGAATAGTTCTAGAAAAGGAGGCATGAATGAACTACTGATAAGGCCTACAGAGGACTCTTTATAAGAATAAGATCTCCTACATTGCAGGGCCAATAATCCTCATGGGAAAGAGAAGGGAAATCTGTAAGGTGGACATGGAACATGTTAGATATACAACAATATGTATGGATCTTTGATGAAATACTTTAGTACAGGCATGTGGTTTGATTTGATGATTTCAAGGTGAAACGTGAAGGATATGTAGAACTTTTCCTGGTGAAAGGAATGAGGGAAGAACAGGCAGGCACACCAGGTAATGGCGGTGAGTGGAGCTAGGTAGGCATTCGGGGCTAAGAATTGATAGTGCATCAGTTGTTTTGACATCTCTCTAGTTTGTGTTACCTTTCTGGTGACCTGATAAGCTCAGATTGTTTCCCCCAGCTTTGTTGAGGTATAACTGACAAATAAAGTTGTATATATTTAAAATGTACAACATTATGATTTGGCATTTGCAAACAGATTTTAAAATATATTCAAAAGATGAAAGAAGGACATTTAATGAAAGACAAATATGAGGAGGTTTCACAGGCCCATTAAGATAAGACTCTGGGGGCGCCTGGGTGGCGCAGTCGGTTAAGCGTCCGACTTCAGCCAGGCCACGATCTCGCGGTCCATGAGTTCGAGCCCCGCGTCAGGCTCTGGGCTGATGGCTCAGAGCCTGGAGCCTGTTTCCGATTCTGTGTCTCCCTCTCTCTCTGCCCCTCCCCCGTTCATGCTCTGTCTCTCTCTGTCCCAAAAATAAATAAAAACGTTGAAAAAAAAATTAAAAAAAAAAAGATAAGACTCTGGCCATTTTCCTTCCCTGTTTAAACCTCTTAAATGGATCCTCACTAACTACAGATAGTGTGAAACTCCTCAGCAAGTCTTTCCAAGCCTACTGCTTCTCTATCTTTATCTATTGCACTTTTTCCTCACAAGTTGAGGCAATGTGGGCTGTAGTTAAGGACAACTGGGTAAATTAGAGACTTGAAATGACTAATATCTAAAGACTAATGATTAATGTGTTGACCTGCTGAGAGGTTTCTGGTGATATGCACAGGACTGTGTCCTTGGTCTTCCAGATTATCTGTATCTAAGGTATCAATGAAAAATGTAGATGCCATGCTCATTGAACATGTGGATAGCATATATACTGGAAGGGATAATAAACATATTAAATAGACTCAGAAACATTAGTGTACTTTCCAAGCTAGAGATAGGATCCCAAATGAAAAAGCTGAAGTTTAACAGAGAAAATTGTGAAGTTTTGCTCTTGGATCTTAAAAAATCCCCAGGGGGATATTGGGAGAAGTGACTAGGGGAGAAGTAAAAATGACTAATAGAATTTTAGTTGATAATAAGGTTAAGTTTTAAGGTTACGGTTAAGTTTTCCTGTCTTTCTTGTTGTCTTAACCCCATGGCAGCAATTGAGAAGCAGCCCCCACCTCTCTGCAGGGTACAGGGCTATCGCCTCTGCAGGACCAAACAGAGGGCTTGCTATGACTTCCCATCTTACAAACAGTGCTGCTTAGAAATCATCAAGATTGCTCTTGTTCAAGGACTGAGACCTTGGTCCACTTCCATGATTCTATCAGATATTGCACCCTGGAATAGCCCCATGCAGTGACCAGATGGGGCACCTAATCCTTCTAGGGAACCTAGGTGTGTATGCCTCCTTCAGTTCACCTGGGTCTGTAGTTACTCATGCCCGAGGGGTGAGATCCCCATTCCACAGTCCAGCCAATGCTAGGGACAGCTTTGTACTCATTCACGCAAACTCCCTAGGAAATGGGCCCTATTCTGTTCACTTTTGGGGAGAAAAATTTTGTGATCTAACCTGGCTCTTTTTGTAGCCTTTTAGTTTTTACTTTGCGATCTACACATTTTGCTTCAGTCTCTGTTATATACTAACAACACATGCCATCTGGTTACTGATTCCTAACCTGGAGTCTACCTTTTAGTGGTTGGACCCTAACTGCCTATCCTTTCCTGTGGAGTATCCCAGCTCTACCCCCATTCCCTTATATTGCTATTAAGTCTACTTTCTCCAGGCTTGGGCGCATACTTACTTCTAGCATATATACACATACCTAGCATCATATGATACTCCTCTAATCCTCTTTTGGAGCTTAACTGGCAAATATAGTGAATTACAGAAGTTGCACAGAGAAGTCCAAATGAAGACTTAAAAGAGCTGTGAAGTCAGCAAAGGAAAGCATTAACAAAACAAAATGACAACCAACTGAATGGGAGAAGATATTTGTAAATGACATATCTGATAAGGGGTTAATATTCAAAATATACAAAGAACTTATAAATGTCAACACCAAAAAACCCCGAACAATCCAATTAAAAAATGAGAAGACCTGCAAAAGACATTTTTCCAAGGGAGACATCCAGGTGGCCAACAGACACATGAAAAGATGCTCAACACCACTCACCACCAGGGAAATGCAAATCAAAATGACAATGCGGTATCACCTCACAGCTGTCAGAATGGCTAAAATAAAAAACACAAGAAACAACGAGTGTTGGCAAGGATGCAGAGGAAAAGGAACGCTCGTGCACTGATTGGTGGGAATGCAAACTGGTGCAGCCACTGTGGAAGACAGTGTGGAGATTCCTCAAAAAGTTAAATATAGAACCAGAATATGATTCAGTAATTCCACTACTGGGTATTTACCCAGATAAAATGAAAACACTAATTCAAACAGATAGATGCCCCCCTGTGTCTACTGCAGCATTATTGACAATAGCCAGGATGTGAAAGCAGCCCACGTGTCCATCGATAGACAAGCAGAGAAGGAAGATTCAATATTATGCAATCATAAAAAAAAAGATGAGACTGTGCCATTTGCAACGACATGAATGGACCTAGAGGGCATTATGCTAAGTGAAATAGGTCAGACAGAGAAAGACGAATACCATGTGATTTCACTCATATGTGGAATCTAAAACAAAACAACAAATAAAAAGCAGAATCAGATCTGCAAATACAGAAAACAAACTGACAGTTGCCATAGGGGAGGGGGGGAGGGAGGGACAGAATGGGTGAAGGGGAATGGGAGATAGAGGCTTCTAGCAATGGAATGAATAAGTCATGGGAATAAAAGGTCTACGTAAAAGTGCACAGAGAATATAGTCAATGATATTGTAATAGTGTTGTGTGATGACAGATGGCAGCATAATGTATACACTTGTCAGATCACTAAGTTGTACACCTGAAACTAAAGTAACATTGTGTGTCAACTGTACTCAAATAAAAACAATATTTTAAGAACCTAGAATTAAAAGAAAAGAAAACAGGTATGAGGTAGGAGGAAAACTAAGAGAGTATGGTGTTTCCAAATCTAAGAGTGTTTCAAGAAGCATTCCTCTTCCCTCACTGGCCACTCCTTTTTTTTGAAAATGTCTTTAATGTTTATTTTATTTTTTTTTTAATTTTTTTTCAACGTTCATTTATTTTTGGGACAGAGAGAGACAGAGCACGAATGGGGGAGGGGCAGAGAGAAAGGGAGGCACAGAATCAGAAACAGGCTCCAGGCTCTGAGCCATCAGCCCAGAGCCTGACGCGGGGCTCGAACTCACGGACCGCGAGATCGTGACCTGGCTGAAGTCGGACGCTTAACTGACTGTGCCACCCAGGCGCCCCTGTTTATTTTATTTTTAACAGAGACAGAGAGAGACAGAGTGTGAGTGTGGGAGGGGCAGAGAGAGAGAGGGAGACACAGAACCTGAAGCAGTTTCCAGGCTCTGAGCTGTCACCACAGAGCCCAACGTGGGGCTCAAACTCACGAACCGTGAGATCATGACCTGAGCTGAAGTCAGATGCTTCACCAACTGAGACACACCCAGGCGCCCACGGCCACTCCTTTTCTACCTCCTTTGCAAGTTCCTCTGCATCTCCCAGCTCCGTGAATGACAGGTCATCCCAGGGCTCACTGTTTGGATCTGTGTTACTAAAGATCTACACTGACTCCTAGGTGATCTTATCTACTCTCTCATGACACTCTTCGGGGCTTTCTCACCGACGATTCCCTCTCCCTGGAATTGATCTTCCGTGTGGCCTATTCCCTCTGCTCTTTCAGTTTTCTACTCAAGACTGAGTCATACTCTCAATAAAGTGTTCACTGACCAGCCTATTTAAAATGGAAACCTACCCCAATACTCTTACTCTTCCCTGCTTTAAATTTCTTCATAGAATGTGAAGAAATTCACCTATTTATTTATTGTGTGTACTCCCTTCCATTAGAATGTACGTACCACAAGGACATGGATTTTTGTTCCTTTTGATTATTGCTATATCCCCTTTCCTAAAACAGTACCTAGAACATAGTAGATGCTTAATGAGTACATGCTGGCTGAGTGATAGAAGTGTTGAGTAAGATAAGGACAGAAAAGTAACTCATTGGGTAATAGTGGGGTGCTATTTATATAGGGTAGTCAAGAATGGACTCATTTGGTCAGATCCCTGAAGGAAGTAAGGTAGTGAGCAAAATGAGTATCTAGGAAAATAGTGCTGCGAGCACTTTTTTGCATAAAAAGTTGCAAATACCCTCAGCTGGGAGGGTGCCTGGTGTGCTCAAAGAATAGCAGGGAAGTCCTGTGCCTAGAATGAACTAAGCAAGGCAAAAGTGCCAGGATATGAAGACAGAGAGACCATGGGGAACCGTGGCTTTTACTCCGAGAGAAACGGGAGCAGGGGCAGTTGCACCTGAGTGGCTTGATCTCACTTATTCTGTAAGCCAATCATTTATGGAGCAAAAGAAAG